GACTATGCTATGAAAATGGATTTGCCATCCTAACACAGAAAGGTTGATAACAGATTTTAAGGGGATCTTCCTATATGCTCATTTTTCATGGAAGGAACCTTGGACCAATCTATTAAAATGTATTTCCTAACAATCTTACTGTTTTGATGTTGTGTAAACACTTAATAGCAAAATAATACAGGATTTTAATTAAGTCAGGTGATGTCTGTTTGTATTTCTGCAAGGGAAAGCTCACAAACTCAAAATAGTAATAAAAATACATTGTCAACTCTTCTGTATTCCTTTTCTTGAATGTCCCACCATATGATATCTTTGCCTCTTTGACATCTCACCCATCTGTCAAGGTCAAACTAACAGAATCAAAATATCCAAGAAGCTCAGATTTGAAAGTTACCTAGGAGGATAAGCTCCAAAAAGACCAAACAGCAATCTTCTCCACAATATTCCTGAGCAGTAATCATCCAACCTTTACTTAAACCTTCAGGAGAAATGCACTGGCTCCACAGGCAGCCAGTTCTCCTTTTAGATTTCTCAGATTCTTAGGAAGTTTTTCCTTATAAGGAGTCTAACTCTATCTCTCTTCCAATTTCAAACCACTGCTCCTAATTCTTCTGTGGCCAAGCAGAACATGTCTAATCCCTTTCCTATATGACAGCCCTTCACATATTTAACAAAAGCTATAATTCCAACCCACCCACCGCAACCCTGCTCTGTATTAAACCTCTTCTTCAGCCTAAATTTCTTTAACTTATTCCACAGATCTTTATCTGGCTTGATACAAGCATAATCCCAATTACCCTTCTCTGGAATGTCAATATCCTTCAAAAAATATGGCATCTCAACATGAATATAATATTTGGGATGTATTCTGATGATGAGAAAAAGCTAATGTTTGTCACTTCCCTCATTCTAGACACTCCACCTCCACTTATGCTGATTAAAATCAAGTTATCTTTTTGTGGAGGAGAAGAGGGGTGCTGTCATGTCACACTGCTGATATATATGGAGCATGAGGTGAATTAAAAAAGCTCATTTTTTCCCCCGCATGAATATGGTTAGTCATACCTATCTTATCCCATACTTCTGCAGCTGATTTTTTGAACCTATATGTAGAACTTTATATTTATTCTTAGTAAATTTAGTCCTGACAGACAGTGCGGCCTAAGAAATAAAGAGGTGACCTTAGAGTAAGGAAGACCTTGATTAAAGACCAGAATCTCACACATTGGCCATGGGACTTAACTTCTCAATACCCTGGGCAATGCCCTAGGAAAGGATTTTTTCAACATACCACATGACTTCTTCAGTAAGGATGTGCCTGCCATACTATGGCTAAGTGGCACAATGACAGAAGGAATAAATGATAATTCACAGTGAGAGAACAAACAGAAGGATAACATAAAGTAGACTGAAGAATTATAAAAGCACAATAGTCTGGGGTCACTGACTTTCAGAACAAACAGTCCCTCACTCCTCAGTACTTGAGAGCATAACCACATTAAAAGCTAGCAGATTAACTGAATTTCTTAATGGTGATTCTAGTTCATTAATAAAAGGTTAAATTCTCTTCAATGTACTCTGATTAAATGGTATATTATACATTTTATAAGGTTCCATCAAAGAAGGCAAAATGAAATAATTTTAGATATTTAAAGGATCCAATTCAGTTATCTGGAAAATTCAATGGTGTAACACTTCTTTCCACAATGATGTTGAATACTGGTTAAATTATGCCTCAGAGAATGAGAAATTAAAGACCTCTTGGGTTCCTTTGGACTTTAAAATTTCTATGAAATATTCTAAAAGGCAGCATGATGTGACAGAAAGATTACTGGCCTGAGAATAAGGAAAATGGAGCTGTAATTCTACTTATGCCACTAACTCTCTAGACCTTTGGCTAAGTAATCACCTCTCTGGACCTCAGAAAGGTCTTCATTTATTTTCTGATAAATGAAGGAGTTGAATTAGAAGGTTTCTAAAATCTCTTGTAACTTTGCTGACTTCACCTTGCCCAATTCTGATTTTCAAGGAGTCATTTTCTTCCTTAAGATTCTGTATAGGGGCAGCTAGGTGGCACAGTGGATAGAGCACTGACCCTGGAGTCAGGAGGACCTAAGTTCTAATCCAGCCTCAGACATTTGACACTAGCTGTGTGACCCTGGGCAAGTCACTTAACCCCATTGCCTAGCCAAAAAAAAAAAAAGATTTCTGTATTTTTCAAAATTTTTCCTCAACCTCTCTCATTTGATTTTAAATGTCTTTTTTAACTCTTCTATGAATTCTTTTTGGGTAGGTGACCACTTGATTACTCTTTTGGGTAGAAGAGGGGTTCTTTGCTTCAGTATCATCCTCTGAAGATGAACTGGTCTTCTCTATTCCAATAGTAACTCTCTATGGTTGGATTCTTTCTCCTTTGCCTGTGCATTTTTTTTTTTAGTAGCAGCTTAGTTTTGGTAATCACCTCTAGTTCTGGGGTATAGGGCATAGTGCCTCTCACCTCAGATCCTCCTTCAGTTCTCCCCTCTGGCCTGGAACTGAAACCAAGACCTCCAGCTTCCTTTAAGTGTCCACAGCCAGTGGCGTCATCGCTCCACTGCTTCTGCACCTAGTACGTGTCCTTCCTTCTCGCCCCCTGCTGCATCTCTTCAGCACAGCTGGGTCTGGCATTCCTTGTCGGCAGAGGTTCCTTCAACCTTCCTGGGCTCAGACGCCTAATTCCCCTCACTGTTCCAGGGGTAAGAGTTCCTGTGGCTGGGGCCAAGGCAGCCTTCCAACCCAGCTAACCAAAGGGTTTGCTGCTTGTCATTTACGCAGACCTAACCTGGAGGTGTTTACTCTTCACAGGGACCAAACCTCTTCCCGAGATTTGTCTTCAGATCTTCCCTGGTTGTGCCAGAAGGACCACTATTCTGCCCCTACTTTTATTTATTTTTACTGTTCTACGTTTGCCCTGAAGCCTTACTTTATCTCATTTGTGGAGAAAATCTGGAGAGCCTGGACTTTTCAAACCTACTCTGCCATCTTCCCAGAACCATCCCCTGTGCTCTACTCTTCTCAGAATATTATGCTTACTTCTGGGTACCATAGCTTAAGAAGGAAACTAGTGAACTAGACTATGTCTAGAAGACAGAGTGTAAAGTCTTAAGTCCATGTCACATTACAATTAGCTGAAAGAACTGAATGTGTTTAGCTTAGAAAATAAAAGATACAGGGAATATGACAGATTCTTTCAAGTATTCTGAAGTATCTCCTTCATGTGGAGGAGTGCTAAAGGACAGAATCAGGAAAAATGGATAGAAGTTGAAAAGAGGTAAATTTAGGTTCAATGTCAGGAAACATTTCCAAGAATCAGAGATGCTCAAAAATGAAATTAATTGCCTAGAGAGGTAGTGAGTCCCCCTCCTTGGAAGTCTAACAGAGGATGAACTACCAAGTGGTTGGATATGCCTATAGCAAACCATACAGTGAAGCCTTCTATGGATTATTTGGACTAGATAGCTGAAGAGGTGCTTCTAAATCTCAAATTCTGTGATTCTAGGTACTCTCTCCAATGATGAAGGCCAAAAACCCTCCATGATCTTATTGTACAGGGGCTCATGAGCTGCTGTGGTCAGAAACAAAATGTATCAGTCACATGCTGGCCAGCCTCCCAATCATGAACTTCTTTATATTTAGGTAGGTTGGTCTTCCAATGTTGGAAAGTTATTGATTCATATGAATATTAATTAGAGAGTGTGGCATACTGTGTACAGAACTGGTTTTGGCTACAAGAATACCCCTTTAACACACATTGGCTGTGTCACCCAATATAAGTCACTCTCAGTGTTCAAGGCAACTTGCTAAAACTATGAATGGCAGAACAGTTGCTGATCTGCATTGGTTAGAGGGAGGTTCCATACTACAAGTTCCCTAAGCCAGTGAAATCAGACGTCAAAAATAATCTACATTATTAATACTATTTTAAATTTGCATAATGGTAAATCACTTGGGAATTATCTCAAAGGTATCTTCTAGCTCTATAAATATATGAGTCTTTTACGCCAATTCTACTCCTTTGCCAAGGTGGGAGATCTATGGAAGTGGAACAATGAGATGCATTGATCAATTTTGTTGTGGTTTTTTTATTTTCTTTAAAAAATGAAATTTGTTATATAGGATAACTCTTTCAAAGGAAGAGGAACACTGGAAAAAATCTAGTGACAAAAATAAAAAGATGTCAATAAAACTTATTTTAAAATGTCTTTTATCAGTAACATGTAATAGATCTCAAGGAGTGTGTTATGATAAGATTCTAGAGTAATAATAATTATCACTAACATGTATGTTACACATTTAAAGTTTTACAAAGTGTCTTACTACATATCTCATTTAATACTTAAAACAATCCTGTGAGAAAGTATAGATATCATTATTCCCAAATTAGAAAACTGAGGCTCAGAGAAAGTAAATGACTTGCTTATCATCATATGGTTGATCAATTTAATGAAGATGAAATTCAAACCTGGATCCCTTTAACCCCAAACTCAAATGCTTTTTCAACTAGATGATGCCATATTATGTTTTTCAGTCATTTGACTGGGCTTCAAAACTACTCCAAATGAAGGGCAAAATTCTTTAATGTCAAACTCAGTGGTCACCTCCCCAATGATGCCTTCCAAATCACCCCTCTCAACTTCACACAAGCTATACCCAATCTCTCTCTCCTCAAATTTCTTATAGAACATTTGTGGACCTCCCCTTTTTCCTTGTCACATTTTATTTTCTCTTATTTTTGATTATGTATCTGATTCTCATGGCTAACTGCATACTGCAGAACGATGGTACTGGGGTGAGAGGGGTTACATCTTTATATCTCTAGTGCCTAGAACAGTTCTGGACACACAGCAGGCACTTAATAAATATTTGTTTATCAAACTGGAACAATTAGAAGATGAGTATTTAACAGATGACTAAACATGATGAAGTTAATAAGGAAAAAGAGTTCTGAGGGCTAAGTTTACCTTGTTGCAGGCAGTGTACTAACTCGAGTGAAAAACACGGATGGCTCAGCTTCCACATGAATCCCCAAGGACAGGTTCCTGTAATACCCATCAACATGGCCTGGGCCCCCTGAGTATTTAAAATTCAGGATGGCTTCTAGTGTCTAGAAGAGAAAAGAAAGAAACCAGAAAAAAATTAGAATTAAAATAAAATTTAGTAGTTAAACAGTTAATTAGTATTATTTCTTCAGGATGCTGAAACCTTATAGGCAAGATGTAATTTGAAAAACTTTCCTCATTGCACCAGAATTTCCCAATTAATAAACCTAAGCTAAGCACTGCCATGATTCCCTACCACAATCCCCTTTACAAGTCACATTCTTAACTCTACATCTGTGACCAGAAGCAGGGATCAATGACTAACTCAATGTAACCCACTGCCCTCTTAGGTAAAGCTTTCCATACTTAATCATCACTGTCATTAAGTTGTTACACAAAGGGCACCTAAAACTCTGACACTATACTTGGAGATAATCTATGTTTTTTTTTTTTATTTAATGGGGTTTTTCATTTACCCACACAATTGAGAGTTATATTTGTTCAAGAATATTCAGGAATTTTCAGGATTTTCTAGTGCCTTATCCCAAAGAAATTATTGGAAATTTACTTTGTATTCATTTTTATTTGTACATGTTCTTTCCACCCAGAAGACTGTAAGCATCTTGAAAGAAGGGATCATTTCATTTTTGCTCTGTATTTCCAGGGCCTAGCATGCAGCAGGATCTTGGTGGTTGGTTGCTGTCATTCTTACTCAAAAATGATCAAAATAATGTCACCATGCTAGGGTTAATGTACAATGTGTCCAACTATGGCTGATCAGACCAATATGAGCTCAGAAGGTTCTACCACAGGTTGGGCACAAAGAGTCCACAAAAGGCATGGTGATGTCTTTTGACTCATGCATAAATTGGATTAAAGTAAGGCAGGGTTGTGTGAAGTCACTGACTTCTCTCTTCCAGAGTCATCAAAGTCCAGTGGTAAGACAAAAGTCAAGAAAACTGGTGATGGCTTGGGATACAAAGTCTGACCAATCTCTAAGTGCTCCACAGTGTCTGTCACCTTCATGGCCCACTGGAACAAATTGTTCACATCCTCCTATTCCTCTGGGGAAGTTTTCACATGCTAGGGGTAGACATCCTCCCTGCCCAAACTCACTGAAGGATTTGAGGCCCATCAGTTACCCTTAATCTAGTTTAGTTATCTGGTGAAATAGTTTTTATCAGGTGTGTTGCTGTACATGCTACAGCTTCTTGGAGCCACAGGTAAGAGTTGGGTGGTAGGTGGATATCAAAGGTGGAAAGCAGCCTGGAAAAAAGGGCTCAGCAGTCCTCACACCAGAGGTACTACTCTTCCCTAAACACCTATATGCCCCAGTAAGATCTTAATAAATGCTAATTGAATGAATGAATAAAACAACAAAATACTGTGTGAAGGCAAAGGTGGGCAAGTCATAAATAAATGAGAAGTTCAAAAAGGGTTTCATAGAGGGACAGCTAGGTGGCACAGTGGACAGAGCACCGGTTCTGGAGTCAGGAGTACCCAAGTTCAAATCCAGCCTCAGACACTTCACAATTACTAGCTGTGTGACCCTGGGCAAGTAGCTTAACCTTGATTACTTTGCAAAAAAAAAAAAAAAGTTTTATGGAATAGGTGACAGTTGACTTTTTTTGAACCTAAGTTCAGAATTTTACATTGATCCCAAGTCCCAACCTTGGCTAGATTTATGCCTAAGTTGGTCATTTGCTGAGGATCATAGGCTTGTAGAATTTATTGCTGGAAAATAATTTAGAAATTATCTATTTCAAGTCCTTCATACATATGAGAATACTAAAACCCAAAAAGGTTAAGTAACTTTTTCAACATCACAAATGTAATAATTAGTCTGGCCAGGTCCTCTGACTTCAAATATGGTACTATTTGCATTATGCAATACAACCTCCAATATGGTAATGTGTTCGCAGAGATTCTAAGAAGAATCCCAGATCCTCATGATAAATTAAAGGGCCTCATTTCCAATTAAAGATAAAGCTTCCAAAGGTAATACCTCAAGCATAATTCCCACTGGCTTTCCATTTCCTAGCACGTAAAGGGCTCTTATGACTCTTTTCTATGAGGAAGTTTTGACTGAAAGATGGGAAGAGGAGAAGAGACAGGGGGAGTGTGGGAGTATCACTGAGAAAGAGAAAAGGTGGGAAGGGGAAAACTGTGGGTATTGAAGAAAAAAATTTAATAAGGCCGCAATTTTATAAAAAGCCTTGGCATTTCATTTTTGCTCTTAAGTATTTTTATACTCATTCTAGCTTCTCCAACTCAGAAATAAATTCTTCAAGGGCAGGAGTCATACATTTGCTAAGTTTTGGAATAGCAATATTAAGAACTGCCATTCTCATAAAACTCATAAAGCATTTTCAAATTATTTTTTTTATTTACTAGTGTCAGCAACCACATCAAATAAGGAAAGAGCATTAGATCTGGAGTCAAGAGAACTTGGGTTCAGATCCTAGTTCCATTCTTTACTGTGATATCAAGCAACTTGTTCCACCATTCTGGGCCCAAATGGTCTCATTTGTAAAGTGAAGAAGGTAAATTAGATTATCTTTCAAGATATGTAGGAAAGGCAGGCATTCTTTCTACAATTTTACAGAGAAAGAAATTAAAACTCTAACAGGTAAAATGACTTAACTAGGGTCACGGAAAAATGACATAACTTGAAGTCAAACTCATATTTTCTGACTTCAGATTCACACTAAATCACTGCCTCCGCTGCCTCCCAGCGTGGTTCAATGACCACAGCTCACATTTCCATAATGATTTAGAGGTTCACAGACTGCTTTCCTATAATAACCCTGTGAGGAAAGTAGTGTAAATATTATTGTTCCCAGCTTATTGATGAGAAGAATATAAACTCAGTTTGTATTTCAAACAATCCAACTAGGATCTGATCTCCAAACTCTGGCTCTCTTTCCACATCTGGTATTCTGAGGAAAAACAAAAACACAGCACTCAAGCTCAGAGGACAATGTAGCCATGGCAGCACAGCAGAATACCACCAGTGCATTTCTCATTCCTCATAACCAAATGCTAGAATCACAGAACCATGAGCATGAGCTGCACAAATTTAGACAGCTGACACTGCCTTCAACAAATGTGTCACTTCAGCCAGAACATCAACATCTGATTGAAAATGTGAATGATTCACCCTTGCCCCTCCGCATTCAGGGTTTAAAATTCAGTCAAACATTTCAAGCAAGAGGGTGTGAGTTTGTTTTGTATTGAATGTTTTCATTGATTTCCTTCTTCCTAATTTGTAATAATGCAGGCAGGGTCAGAAGAGTTTCAAAAAGAAACAGAGAGAGACACAGAGAGAAAGGGGATGGGGTGGGGGGAGAAGAATCAGTCAGTGAATGAAGAGGGAGAGGAGAGATTTTTATCCTTCATATTCTGATTTCTTAAAACCACAGAATGTTAGCAATAGAAGGGATCCTAGAACACAGAATGTCAGAATGAAAGGATCCATAGAACTGAGAATACATGAAATCAGAACATAAAATAAAGAATGTTTAGAATTGGAAAGGACCTTAAAGATCGTCTTTTCTAATACCAGCATTATAAAAAAGAGGTTGAGATGTGACATAAAGCTAGTTAGTCATTATTCAAAGAAGTCTAGGCAAAATATATAATGGACTACAAGTGACTCTCTTTCTCTTCCTAGTACCTATTACCTATTAATTAAATATGTGTGCATACCCACATGGCTAAGAATCTGTGTATGTATAGGGATATATATTTGTGTACTGGCAGATAGGAGGAAGGAGGGAAGGAAGAAAGAAAGGAAGGAAAGAAGGAAGGAAGGAATAAAGGAAGGAAAGAAGAGAGAGAAGGAGAGAAGGAAGGATTAAGTGCCTACCATGTTCCAGGCACTAATTACTATCTCATTTGGTCTTCACAATAGTTCTGGAAGATAGGTGCTATTTTTAGCCCCATTTAAAGCAGACTATGCCTACTAGGTTTCCCATTTTGGAAGTCATTAACATAAAGAAGGCCTCTCTAGCATAACACACATATACTTTTAAACTTAACTTCTATTTATCAGAAAAAATCTAAACTGAATTGTCCAGTTAACTTGTAGGTACTATGCATATCTGATGACAGTATCAGGCTCCAAAAAGCCCTGACAGGCTAGTCTGAACTGAAACTAATAAAATGAAAATTAATAGAAATAAAAGTAAAAGTCTTGCATCAAAAATGCAAATACAAGATGTTTAATAGAGAATTGATATAAGTGAGGAGAGGGTATGAAAGCAATTAGATACCATCAATGAGCTCAAGACCCCAGGCCCAGGAAAACTATAGCATTGGAATCTCAATGTCAGAAGGGGCCCCAAAGGCCAACATACATGCGACGGAGAATCTTGCCTACAATATTCCTAACAAGGGATGATTGAGCTTTTGTTGGAAGATCTCCAGGAAGAGGGAATTCGCCAGTTCAAGAGGTAGCATTCTTTGTGGTAGCGCTAATTGTTAGGAAGGTTTTATGTATATCAGACCTAAATCTGCCTGTCTGTGATTGCCACACATTGGTCCTGGTTTTACCCTCTAGAGACAAGAAAAAAAGGTTTACTCTATCTTTCACATAGAAGTTCTTCAAACACTTGTCCCCCCTTTCTCCATGTTAAATATGTCCAGATCCTTGAATCAATATTTTTATAGCATGATCGCCAATCCCTCAAATTCCCTGGATGAAATAAGAAATACTATTATCATGTTTATCCCCCCTCTGAGTTCTCTCCAGCTTATCAATGTCTTTCTGAAAATATGCTACTCCCCATTATCATCCCTCCTCCATTCCATTTCTGCCCAGGAGAGCAAATAATAAATTCTCTCTTTTCCCGAAGTGAAATCTGCATTTAGTTCCAATTGTAACCTCTAATCTTTGGAATCATACTTACTGTTTCTATAGAATTTTTTTATAGGAAATTAGGATTATATATTAATCAATTATATAACTCAATCTGTAAGGGCTCATAAGCATACAATTTTTTAAAAGTTACAAGGCAGTTCCTCACAACACCTTGTAAGACAGATAGTGCAAGTAATAAGAGTC